TTCGCGGACGGCAACAATCTGGATGCTTTCAAAGTGTCGACAAGACGTCGATCTCTCCCGGGTCTTTGAGGGGCTTCTTGGGAACCCTTAGATTTAAAGCGGTGAATGAGGGACTGCCTGTGGCGTGTCTCTCTTGTCAAAGTTCGATCGCGTATCTCAAGTCATTTGCCTGATCGGTGTAACTTTGTCGTAGGGAATTGGGGGGTTAGTCGTCGCACAACTCCACTCTCGATATGCCATCCAAAACAGAACCACAAAACGAGCGGGTCAGTCTATTTCACGGCGGTCTTTCTATTATGCAACTGTCCGGTTGCTTCTGACTCACCCTGTATTAAAAAAACTGTCCGTGTGGGGAAACGGACGCACATGTACCGCAAGCCCTTGCCACTACGGTTGTCTTGTGTGTGTGTGTGTGTGTGTGTGTGCATGCGTGAAAAACTGCCGCCACCTGGTGCGGATGCGGTGTTGACAAAGCAACCGAGACCCCGTCTCCTCCCTCTCCAAGCTCTGGACGCGCGCCGCGAATCCCCGTTTGCGAAATGCACGCACTGTCACGACCTGTCACCAGACCCAGTCAAATCCACCTCACGTCGACTGTGGCTTTGCAAACACGCTGACATTTGTCTACTCGGGTTTTTCTTTTTTTTTTCCAGCGCTTTCGAAGTTCCTTCGTTGAGAAACCGCGGTCTAATGCGGTGAGTGTAGGACTTGAGGCGCATTCTCTAAATGTCGACTCCTGTCTCCAAACAGCTGTCTTCTCATGCTTGTCTTTGTCCAGGTTTTATAAAACCGAAAAAACATCACTACTTATAAGTTTGTAGTAGTAGTACTTGCAAGCCATGCGCGATTTGCTTTCCAGTTGTTACCCTTCTACATTCGTAACATGTTAACTGCTTAACTGAATGAACAAATTGACCAACATTGTTCTAGTTCACATCACACTCAATCCATCATTGCTTTAATTCGTGATCATGTAACTTGCAGAGAGGCTGAATGTACCACATTCAAGAATGATTAAATCACTTGGTATGTCCAGAGTGATTCTATCATACCTCAACACCGAAGCCACGTTTCGACTAGGAAACCTCACTACAGTCGCTCAGGAGGGCTATGCTGGTTCTTTTATCTATCTTTTTATCGATTTTAGAAGGTGTCGGGCGTGAAAATATCCTGGTCGGAAAGCGAGAAGCCGGTCTTCTTGGAGGTCACGCCAATATCGATCGATCAGGTCGATCAGTCTACGGGCAATCGTGTAGCTTGCTACACCTACCGGGACATTGAGTATCTCACCCCAGTACGCTGACTTTAACGTCTACAGCTACGTGCTCCGTCAATTAACATCGAGTTTGTTTAAATATTCCTTCTTTTAAGGTGTCTGGTCTTAATGGTGGGTTCGCAATCGTCTGTGGTGGCTATGGCCGCGTCGTAAGTCACTAAACAATAGACCCTACTGATTAACGAATAAGTAGTAATAATTTTTCCCCGGTTTTTCAGCACCTCTTCAGGTGTTCCGATCCGACAACACTAATTAACGCCGCAGCCGAGTCAGCCGCACAGTTTGTGGGCATCTCCCTGGCCAAATCCCCATCACCAGTTACCTTGGATTGGTGCAGACAAAATCGTCTAGGCAAACTTGCCACGTAAGTCCCCTGTCACAGTTAATTTGCCCTCCTCCTTAGGCCCGAGAACATGATATCCCAGGCGGAGTTTGTTGTGCAGAAAATTGCGCCCTATCGCCACGGCGACAACGCGCCCTCAGTTACCCGAACTCTCTGTCTGACCGATTGCCTGCTGATCGAACGCGATCCCCTCAGTTATCGATCGATTTGTGCTCAGCCGTTGTGCGAGGTACGTCAGTATTTCCCATCACACACACACGCCCTTTTACTCTAGGTGTTTGCCATAGTGCGCTCGCGCAGGGAGCCTCAGAAACTCTCCATTGAATATGCCTGTGGCAAAGTTCACACCTACTACTCGTCTGACAGGTAGGACATCGCTTTTTTGTTCTGATATGGGTTAAATGCCAACAGGGATTCCCTGGTGTGTTCCATTCTCGATGGTGTGCGAGCCAGCGGCAACCAGTGCGTGTGTGTTCGCTCGACCAATAGCAGAAGGGATCTGAGAGTGCAGCCAATGGCAGTTGCCTCTTCGGAGGAAGTCGAGTCCATGCATCTGCGGTTCCTGCGTCAGCCTCCTGGTAGGCGATGCTTTCGTACTAGCAGTTACTATTATCCCCTTCTCTCTCTCTCTTATCACGCGACTGTTGGCTGCTTTGTTTTGTTGTTGCAGAAGGGATCTCGTTTTGGGAGATGGTGGAACGCTTCAATGCAAATGTTGCCTACAGCGGACTGGTTCACGCGGTTAGCCAAGACGTAAGTTGTCCTGCGATTCCGTGGTGAATGTGTCCTACGGTTGGTGTCACTTGGCGCTGCTGCCGACGTGTTCTGCGTCCAACTTCCCCTGGAAGCAGCGTACGCAAAGTTGTTCTCAGTGGAGTTCTCGAACGTTACCCTGAGTGTCCGCTGAGATGAATAAGACCGGAGACAACAGACACGACTGTTTACTAGACAGCTCAACTAAGTTGTGTTGTGTTGACTGGTACAGTTGAGTGTACTAGTAAAAATGTAGACGTCAAAATGGTCACGTGGATATAGCGGGTAGGGGCGGTACTGGGGCCGTGTGTGTGAGGCTGCGACAACCGCGTTATTGGACGTGTGTTAACACGATTCACTACGAGCATTTACGACACCTTTCTATTCGTAATGAGTGTTAGTGACTAATATATTGCCTTCACACCTACTCATAACCTGCACAAATCAAGTTGGCTCACTAATCTTATTGGGTACCACTGCCTCGAATTCGCAGGATTGACGGGTGTATACTTGCTACTAATAAATGGTTAGTAACTAGTAAGAGACTTTCGCTCTCTTCCCATTTGTGATTGGATGTAGCATTCTGACGCAAAATCCTATTTAGCCTTTCTTAACTCAAAGATGATTAATGTTTGGAAGGCTCCAAATGACGCCTAACGAATAATCCTGCCTACTGGTTTCGGAATTCTAGAAAGACTACCTCTTCGTTCGTCTACACGCTACTCTTCTGTGCTCTAATTTAGGGAATCTTCACGGAGAACAAAGAGAAGCTCATCAAAGATGCGCTGACCGTTCTACTCACGCGGTGTCCCAACGTGCGAGCTCTGCCACCGGGCATGGACGAACCGGCCGCCGGGCGAGAAGGCGACGGTCAGTTGACTGGGGAACAAATGCTGCGGAAACAGGAGGCGCGATTTCAGGCAATCCGGCGACTTGTTGCCTCTAAGGCCGGTTTCGAGGCGTTCACTCAGTTGTCAGGGTAAGGGTAGCACTTTTCATGTGTTCGCATTTCTATTTAGCATGCAAAATCACATCTACGTACACTTTGTAAGTAGTAAATAAATTCGGTAAAAATCAATGTGTGCACGCCCCATTATAGAAAGCCCAAATTTTAGCTGTTTAACCAAATCCTTAAAATTGGTTTGGAATCAAGTCGGCTCATTAGTCTTATTGGGTACCACAGTCTCGAATCCGTAGGATTGCTGGCTGTATACTAATAATTAGTTCGTGCTACTAAGAAATAGTTAGTGCGAAGTGTTTTATAATTGGACAGAGCCTTTAACTCCATTGTTTCATTCTCCCCCTCTTTGCGATGGCATCTGGCATCCAGACGCAAAATCCAATTTAAGCTCTTTTAGCACACACACACACACACACTTCCACACGTGTTTGTACTTCGATTGGTTCAAATGTCGCCTAACAATTAATTGTGCCTGCCTTTTTCAGAATTAGAGAAAGCCTCGGCCGTGCCGTGGTGTCGGCACTGACGCGGCACGACGACGGTCTGACCCACGCCGTCCTCGACGCCGTCAACACCCTCATGCAGCCGATGCACGAGTCGCCGGATCTGCGACAGGAGCAGCTCAACAAGGCCTCCATCATGTCAAGCGCGTCCTTCATGAAGCACCTCGTCGACCTCTTCACACTCCACGCGGTGAGCGAGTCCCTTTGTCGTTTTTCTAGCCGCCTCATTCTACCCGCCTTCTGCAAAATGTCAACCTTAAATGCCCTTTTAACGTCTGGTTTGTCCAACAGCTTCGCGGCACGGGGTCCCTGGTGATATCGGCGCTGTTGGACTTCTTCACGTTCGCCCTGTGCCTGCCCTACTCGGAGACGTCGGAGGGATCGGCGTTTGAGACGCTTCTGGCTCTCGTGGCGTCGCGCGGTCGCGCTCTGTTCCGGCTATTCTCGGTGAGTTTGCCCCTCCCCGCCCCCCTGCCTTAACTGACTAGTCGCTTTTACGGCTTTCTCCCCCTCCCTTGACACCGCGTAGCACCCAAGCCTGGCGATCGTAAAGGGCGCCGGCCTCGTGATGCGCGCGCTGATCGAAGAGGCGCCGGACGAGCTCGTGGCCGAGCTGCGGCAGATGGCGCTGGTGGAGGGCTCTCTGCTGCAGCACATCTCAATCGCGTGCTTCGCCAACACCAACGACCCCAGGAACCTCGTGTTGAGGTACCTCTCTATGTTTGTCTGTTCTTTTCAAGCATTCTCGCCTCCCGTTCACATTGTGTTTCATGTTCATTTGACCTGATTGCCTTTTTCCTCTCCCCACCCAGGCAACTGAGCCGTCAGCTGATTAACCTTTGGACGGAGAATAATCCACCTGCACAAGACCTCCTCAAACGCATTTTTGTAAGTTATCGCTTGGGTGTTTCGGCGTGTGCGCACAAGTTATTTAAGACAACTACCACCACCACTCTACCACCGCCACCCCACCACCAATCCACTGCCCCGCCACCACTCCACCACCACGAATCCACTGCCCCGCCACCACTCCACCACCACGAATCCACTGCCCCGCCACCACTCCACCACCACCCCACCA